CTTGAGAGTATGCGCTGAATGGCAGGTGGGAGGCAGAAGGGTGCCAAATGAATCTTTGGGGCGCCAAATTTTGTCCTCGCTCAGGGCGCCATATTCCTAAAGTCTGCCCCTGCCATTGAGTGAGATGCCTTTTTGTGCATCTCAGCTGAGCTGAAGTTCCTCCTCCAGATGTCACTGGACTGCAACTCCCATCAGTTTCCTTGATTACAAAAGCAGATAAAGAAGCCGGTTTTGTTTCCGACACAGTTCATTAAAATGGCAATCAGCTTAATCTTATGGATTAATTTAAAAACACAGCTAAATGAGCAAGCAAATGATCTCAAGATCTTGATAGACCCAGAATTGTTATAGTCATCTGCTGATTTTCCTTCTCTTTTGCCTCTTTCAGAAAGTCATCCTACCACTGATTGTTTTGCCCCATGGGTTTTGCTTCCTTGGCCCCTTCAAAGCAGAGATAAAAAATGGCAGCATTCTCAAGCAGCCTATTAATATGAGCAAAGGATGATTTGATGCTTTGAACACACACACACACACACACACACACACACACACACACACGTAAAGGACCCCTGGACATTTAAGTCCAGTCAAAGGCGACTATCTCACTATATAAATTTGTTTTCCTACATTTTGTTATTTTCCAATTCAACAAAACTAGTGACTTCCCGCTCACCCAACATTGACGCTTATCACCCAATTATCCAATTTCACCCTCTTTGGTCTTCACTATGGTCTTCTCGTATGGGAAATAACTTCTTAAATAGACTACAGTCTGAGCTATAAGGCCGTCTTTAGCATATGCTCCACTGGGGTGCAAAGATCTGCCCAGCGCCCCCAAATTTAGTTTAGCCCCCAAATTAATTTTTATTATGCTTGTGTCACTATTATCTTTTGATAAATAGTGCTCATGCCTGCGCAGCTCCAAAAGTAACGCTTTTTGTGCTTTTTGTTTAAAACCAGCTTTTTGAAAGAAGACAAAGAACACTTGTAAAGTGTAAAGACTCCACGCATGCGCTTACGGTCGTAGGGAGGTGTCTGGAAGATGAGACGGGCAGGCATTGTGCGCATGCGTGGGAGAGCCGTCTAGGGCAGCCTTTCATTGTGGGAGCAACCTTCTTTCTAGAAGAGCTGGGAGGGCCCTTGTGAGCACACATATACGAGTTCTTCTTGGGAAGGTTCTGGAGCCTGCGCACACTCCCGTCGCTAGATAGGCGCGTTCTCTTTCTGTCTCTCCCTCTTTCCTGTCACTCCTCCCACCTTTGGTGAGCGGCAGGCATGCGGCGCAAGATCAGTCGTGTGAAAGGTCATCCCTAGCTAACAGGACCAGTGGTCAGGGATGGTGGGAACTCTAGTCCCAAAACATCTGGAGGGCCAAGTGTGGCCATGCCTGCTTTAAGCAGTCCTCCTTAAAAGATTCTCAATTTGTGTCTCTAATCATTGCCTCAGTTTTGCCCTCTCTGCATATTCCAGGATTTCCATCAGCCATTCTTCCTTTGAGGGCGTCCTTCCATTTCTAAACGTAGAGAATCCTTGCCACTGTAGTTACATACATAAATACAGCTGAGGCTTTCTTTGGAATTTTGCTTTCTAACATCCCCAGCAGGAAGAATTCTGGCCTCTTGGGAAAGGTCAGTTCACACACCCCCCCATTATGTATCATGTCCCAAAAGGCCTTGGTCTTCCTGCAGATCCACCGCATGTGATAAAATGACCCCTCACAGTTCGTGCATTTGCAACATTTCTTTGATACATTCTTATCCATTTGAGCTAGTTCTTTGTACAGGGGTGCCTCGCAAGACGAAATTAATCCGTTCTGCGAGTCTCTTCGTCTTGTGGTTTTTTCGTCTTGCGAAGCACGGCTATTAGCGGCTTAGCGGCTATTAGCGGCTTAGCGGCTATTAACGGCTTAGCGGCTATTAACGGCTTAGCAGCTTTAAGAAAAAGGAAACAAACTCGCAAGAACTCGCAAGACGTTTCGTCTTGTGAAGCAAGTCCATAGGGAAATTCGTCTTGCGGAACGACTCAAAACCCGGAAAACCCTTTCGTCTAGCGAGTTTTTCGTCTTGCGAGGCATTCGTCTTGTGGGGCACCACTGTAGATAGAAACCATCTGCACATCTTAGTTGCTCACTAAGCAGTGGCGTAGCGTGGGGGGTGCAGGGGCGGCCGGCCGCACCGGGCGCAACATCTGGGGTTAGGGCAAATCCATGGGTTAGGGGGCACAAATCCACAGATTAGGGGGCGCAAATCCACGAGTTAGGGGGCGCAAATTACTTGCCTTGCCCCGGGTGCTGACAACCCACGCTACGCCACTGTCACTAAGTTTCATATTTTGTTGAACTTTTTAAGCTTACATGCATTTTCCTGAAAGCTGAATGGATCTCTGTATAGAACCCATTTAGGCTGCATGTTTATTTCTTTATGCACAGAGGCCTCTTTAACTGTGTGTGTGTGTGTGTGTGTGTGTGTGAGAGAGAGAGAGAGAGAGAGAGAGAGAGAGTGAGTGTGTAACTGGTCCTGAAAGCATCTGCCTCTCCTACTCTGGAGGGCACAGCTAGAGAATACCAGGCCATCTAGTCTCGGTTCTAAAACTTCCAAGGAAGGCCAGTCCCACCTTCCCAGGTAATCTGTTTCTGAAGAAATTTGTGTTTGTTCATGCTTCAGTCATAAGGCGCCTTTAGCAACCTTATGGCCAGGGGCTTCTAGCAAGAAAAGAAGATCTTGCCATGCTTCAGTCATAAGGCATCTTTAGCAACCTTGCGGTCGGGGGCTTTTTAGCAAGAAGGGAGAGGCACCAATGGCCACGCAGGGAGGAAAATATGGCCCCCCAGGACCAGACTACGGCTGTGCCGAGGCAGAAATCACCACTTCCCTGGAGCCCCAGGGAAGTGAATTCCTCAGCAATATTTTGGGAGATGTATGTGGGTAGTGCTGTGGTGTAAGCCAGTGAGCCTTGGGCTTGCCGATCGGAAGGTCAGAGGTTCAAATCCCCGCAACGGGGTGAGCTCCTGTTGCTTGGTGCCAGCTCCTGCCCACCAAGCAGTTCGAAAGCACATCAATGTGCAAGTAGATAAATAGGTATCATTCCAGTGGGAAGGTAAACAGCGTTTCCATGCACTGCTCTGGTTTTGCCGGAAGTGGCTTAGTCATGCTGGCCACATGACCCGGAAAAATTGTTTGCGGACAAACGTCAGCTCCTTCGGCCAGCAAAGCCAGAGTCGTTCCCAACTGGACTTAACTGTCAGGGGTCCTTTACCTTTTTACAAGTAGTGTCAATTCCTCTCAGCGAGAGTAGTTTAACAATCAATCCCTCTTCCCAGGCAAGTTTATTAAAACTTCAGCTGTAGGGAGACCTTGGCTTAGGCACTGGGTGTTTATCCCTCCCAGTCCCTGGCCAGGGATCTGGGGAACATCAGGGTTATCCAGAATATGTGGGGATTGGGCTGGCTCTGGAGAACGTCTGTTCAAGCAGACAGTCCGCCCCCCATTTCGCCACCGTCGCAGGAGGAGAGCAATGACAACTTAACAGCGTATGACCAATGCCTCCCCTCAAAACAACCCCTTTAATGGGGAACCCTGGGATCGGCGCAGTGGGGGGGGCACCGCTCCCCCCCCCCCCATTTAGGAAAGACAGACAAAAGGATTCTGAGGGCAGGGTGGGAGAAGCTCTGAAGCCCACTGAGAACTCCCAGGCAAGTTCTTCCCACTGTTGTGTGGGCTGGTCAGTCCCTCCCCTTACCTGGCCAACTCTCTCCTGGCAACGCAGGAGATGTCCACAAGTTCTACTCTTATGAGAGATAAAAACTTTACTTTCTCCACTTTGCTCCACCCCCTTGTTCATTTTGCTGGCCTTTTTTGACAGTATCCTTCTTGAGGTAAGGCTGTAAAGACAAATATCTAGAGCCATATCTCTTGCAGAACTCTAGAGCCATATCTCTTGCAGAACTCAACACTATCCTGGTCTAATAACATTTAACATGATTTTCCTGTTCCCAGTTCTGGTTCTGAACTGCACTTATCAATGAATATCTCTGCAAGACGTAGAACTCTCCAGGCTGTTCTTGTAAACATTTATGTCATCAGAAGCAAATGTTTCCTTCCTGGCAAGCATTTCCTTCCCCGTTAGGACCTCCATCCCTCTCATTTTGCCCCTCCTCCTTCCCATTTGTATAAAAGGGGGCATGGGATTCTCCACAGACTTACATGAGGGACACCAGAGCTCTTTCCTGCACGCCCCAATAAGAGTTTGCCAGCAACTCATTGAAAAACCAAGATGGTAAGTGGAATGCTTTGGGGACGGTTGGTACACAAGCTTTTCTTTAACCTAGATTAGGTTTAAATGGTGGAAAGGGGGATTTGAGGTGTGGACAGGGGGTGTGCAAAGGCATTCAGAATTATGAGGATTGAGTATCTCAGTTGCTGAGGCTTTCTCAGACTCCAGGCTTATCTGAAGGCTTATCCACCCTTACTTTTCCTCTGCTCTTTCCAGGCACAGTCTGTGCTTTTTAGCAGGGGTAGGCAACTAACTAAAAGGGTAAAGGGACCCCTGACCATTAGGTCCAGTTGTGACCGACTCTGGGGTTGTGGTGCTCATCTCGCTTTATTGGCCGAGGGAGCTGGCATACAGCTTCCGGGTCATGTGGCCAGCATGACTAAGCCGCTTCTGGCGAACCAGAGCAGTGCATAGAAATGCCGTTTACCTTCCCGCCAGAGCGGTACCTATTTATCTACTTGCACTTTGACGTGCTTTCGAACTGCTAGGTTGGCAGGAGCAGGGACCGAGCAACGGGAGCTCACCCCGTCACGGGGATTCGAACCGCCAACCTTTTGATCGTCAAGCCCTAGGCTCTGTGCTTTAGACTAACTTAGGCACATTAATTTCATTGGCTCTGCTCTGACTAAAATTTAGTCACATACAATGCATTTTTTAACAGCAAGAGAGGCTATAAATATGATAACACCATCTTGAATGATTTGTGCATGTGTGTGTCTCTTTTACAGAAAATCCTCTTGAGCCTGACTGCCTTGTCTTTGACACTTGCCTTGTGTCAGGGAACCTGCAGATTCAGCGAGCACAAAGAAGAGATTAAAGATGGTAAGTTAATAACAGCAGCAGCAACAACAAATGATGTTGTCAAGCAGCCTATTCATTTAGCCAAATCAGTATTTAATGTTTGGGAAATGTGTTCCTGACTAGAGATTTTTTAGCATACACCTCCCAAATCTGCTCTTGCAGAACCAGAACACAGACCAAAGTGCAGCTACCTTCAAAATCTACACTTCTCTGGATGTTGTGATGCTGTTCAGAGTCTAAAATGACCTAATGCTGCTCCCTTCTCATCTTCTCATTGATGAGTCCCTGCTTAAGCGCTTACTTTTATTATGTATTTTGTGTTTTTTAGATTGTGTTTTTAGGTTGAGAACTGCCCTGAGGATGGTATATAAATAGTAATAATAATAATAACTGGTAGAAATTGAAACGGCCAGATTCCCCATCCACAGGGCACCCCATTCACTCCCACCCTGTTTTAAGCTTGGAACCACCGTCTGCAGACGCAAGCAGGAGACTGCATGGCCGCAGCATAAGCAAGACAGACGTCCAGGGTCACTACCTTTCTTGTCTGCAACCAGGACATGCAAGAATAAAGGTGGCAAAGCTTCCCACTCCACTCCATGTCAGGAAACACTTTACCTACTACATTTTCACGTATCAGGCTGCTGTCAGAAGCACAGGAGGAGCTGGACAAGTGGACAAGTTGCAGCCACCGTGCTTCTCTTGCGCAGTCTCTGCATTGTGCTGAGCAGCAGCTTCTGATTTCACAAGCTGTTTGGGGGCTGATGTTAAATGTATGGGATTTCTCTCCCTAGGTAAGCCGGTGCTGCCCACTGAGTGTACTGATCCCATGAATGGGAGCAAGCATCCATTAAGCTCCAAGTGGAATACACCGAATTGCATGGAATGCGTATGTAATGAAAAGGGAATGCTGTGCTGTTCCAGGTAGGCCAAATACCCAGAATGGCACTGGGTCTATAAATCTCTTTCAAATTATTTTGCCCCGTTCTCTCTGGAAGACCTTCTGCTCAATTAAAATTCATGGACGGAATGAGCTGAAGACGGGTGTCCCAATAAATCTTTACATCTGAAAGGTTGCATGTCCAGAGTGCCTTTCCAATTATCCGATGACCAGGCATTCGCTGCGTGGAAGCTTGGACTTTGGGAGCTCCCTGAGTCCCAGATCCTCTCATCCGGAGACCACCTAGGAGTTGGTGCTGGGGAGAGGGACCCCGATGCACCCAATGGAACAGGACCCCTCCTCTTTCCTGCACCTTCCTGTCTCCTTCTGTCTCCCTCCTGGCTGGCCTCTTGGTTTCGCACCAACATTTTGCTACACCCTTTTTTGTGCATGGGTGCTGCCCTCAACCACCGCAAACATAGTGGAGGGGGGGAGGAGGTCATCGTACAGCAACATGCAATGGCATATTGTGCAAGACATGTCCTTTGTGCATTCAGCTTGGGTTCCCCAGGTGAATTTGGCCTCGGGCCAAATGTTTTCCAAGGGCTTGGTTTTCCCTGGATGGAGCAAACATCTTGCAAAACTGCTTTTCTGCCAGGCAGTTCCAATCATTCTTGGCATGTCCTAAGTGAGCAGGAGAAAGGAGCGCTCCTCTACAAGATCTCCATAAGCTCAGGGAAACCTTAGTTTACACATTCTTCTTCTTCTTTTTAGGCACTTTGATCTTGTCGAACGTCAAGGATGTAAAGCAATGTTCCATCCAATCAAATGTGAATATGTGTACTATAAACTAGGGTATGATCGCTACATACCCTGTCCCTGAGCTTTACAAATCCCACCCAAATTCCTTTCATGTAAAAGAATCTGATTAAATCAGTCATATGTGCATTTCAGTGTGTATCTGTTGTCTTTGCTTGATATCACTACTTGCAGAATTTGGTACATATCATAATGAAAGTGATGGACATACCTAACTCAGCTATCAGCAGCTTTTTAGATTCTAATGGATTATTAAATATTGCTCAATTTGATATACACTGTTTATTTTAAAATTATTGTGACTTTTTTTTGTATTGGATCAGATACAACTCACTTACCAATCACAATTCTGACTTGGCTGAGTCTCCTGACAGACAGGAGGGGCCAGGCTGGCTCATTTGACAGAAGTTGCTTAGAACATGCACATTGTGCATCATAACCTTCTGCCTAGAAGGGTTAGAGACTCACCTTTTAACATTTATTTTTATTATATTTGTATACTGCCCTCCACCCAAAGATCTCAGGGTGGTTGGCAGCATAAAAATACAAAATTAAAAACACAAAATACATACTAAAAACAGGAAGAGAAAAAGAAAAGAAAAAAGAAAACTACCTCTCAAGAAAGGAGGAGGAGTGGCGTTATATGTCAGGGATGTGTATACCTGTGAAGAGATCCAAGATTTAGAACCTCAAAGCCAAAGTGAGAGCATTTGGGTCAAAATTAAGGGAGAGAAGACAGAGACCTCATTGTGGGAGTTTACTATAGATCCCCAAGCCAAATGGAGGACATAGATGATGCCTTCCTGGAACAGATGGCCAAGCATGCAAAAGGAAGGGAGATAGTAGTAATGGGGGACTTCAATTACCCGGATATTTGTTGGATGTCAAACTCAGCCAAGAGCATAAGGTCAAACAGATTCCTCACTGGCCTTGGAGACAACTTCATTGTCCAGAAAGTGGGAGAAGCAACAAGAGGAACAGCCATTTTAGATCTGATCCTAACCAATGTTGATGACCTGGTTAGTGGGGTAGAAGTGGAAGGATCATTAGGCGCGAGTGATCATGCTCTTCTGAAGTTTACTACACAGCGGAAAGGAGCAGCCAAGCATACTAGGACTCAATTTCTTGACTTTAAGAAAGCCGACTTCATAAAACTTAGGGAAGTGCTGGGTGAGATCCCATGGACAGTAATACTAAAAGGAAAGGGAGTTCATGATGGCTGGTAGTTTGTTAAGAGGGAGATAGTAAAAGCACAACTTCAGGCAATACCAATGAAACAGAAACATGGAAGGTGCCTAAAGAAGCCAGGGTGGCTATCTAAAGAACTTTTAACTGAGTTAAGATTAAAAAAGGATGTGTACAAAAAATGGAAAAGGGGGGAAATCACCAAAGAGGAATTCAAACAAATAGCCAGCACATGTAGACACAAAGTCAGAAAAGCTAAAGCACAGAATGAACTCAGGCTTGCTAGAGAGGTTAAAAGCAACAAAAAAGGCTTTTATGGGTATGTCCGTAGCAAAAGGAAGAACAAAGAAACAGTGGGGTCACTCAGAGGAGAAGATGGTGAAATGCAAACAGGGGACACAGAAGGGGCTGAACTCCTCAATGCCTTCTTTGCCTCAGTCCTCTGCGATAAAGAAAACAATGCCCGACCTGAAGAATTTGGAGCAAATGATTCAGCAGAGGAAACACAGCCCAGAATAACTAAGGAGATAGTACAAGAATACTTGGCTAGTTTAGATGTATTCAAGTCTCCAGGGCCAGATGAACTGCATCCAAGAGTATTAAAAGAACTGGCAGATGTGATCTCAGAACCACTGGCAGTCATCTTTGAGATTTCCTGGAGAACAGGCAAAGTCCCGGCAGACTGGAGGAGGGCAAATGTCCCTATTTTCAAAAAGGGGGAAAGAGAGGACCCATATAATTATTGCCCAGTCAGTCTGACATCAATACCAGGGAAGATTCTGGAGCAGATCATTAAGCAAACAGTCTGTGAGCACCTAGAAAGGAATGCTGTGATCACCAATAGTCAGCATGGATTTCTGAAAAATAAGTCATGTCAGACTAACCTGATCTCGTTTTTTGACAGAATTACAAGCCTGGTAGATGAAGGGAACACAGTGGATGTAGCCTACCTTGATTTCAGCAAGGCATTCGACAAGGTGCCCCATGATATTCTTGTAAAGAAGCTGGTAAAATGCAGTCTTGACTATGCTACCACTCAGTGGATTTGTAACTGGCTGACTGACTGAACCCAAAGGGTGCTCATCAATGGTTCCTCTTCATCCTGGAGAAGAGTGACTAGTGGGGTGCCACAGGGTTCTGTCTTGGGCCCGGTCTTATTCAACATCTTTATCAACGACTTGGATGATGGACTCAAGGGCATCCTGATCAAATTTGCAGATGACACCCAACTGGGAGGGGTGGCTAACACCCTAGAGAACAAGATCACACTTCAAAACGACCTTGACAGATTAGAGCACTGGGCCAAAACAAACAAGATGAACTTTAACAGGGAGAAATGTAAAGTATTGCACTTGGGCAAAAAAAAACAAAAAAAAACCAAAAAAAAAACCGAGAGGCACAAATACAAGATGGGGGACACCTGGCTTGAGAGCAGTACATGTGAAAAGGATCTAGGAGTCTTGGTTGACCACAAACTTGACATGAGCCAACAGTGTGACGCGGCAGCTAAAAAAGCCAATGCAATTCTGGGCTGCATCAATAGGAGTATAGCATCTAGACCAAGGGAAGTAATAGTGCCACTGTATTCTGCTCTGGTCAGACCTCACCTGGAGCACTGTGTCCAGTTTTGGGCACCACAGTTCAAGAAGGACACTGACAAACTGGAACGTGTCCAGAGAAGGGCAACCAAAATGGTCAAAGGTCTGGAAACGATGACTTATGAGGAAACGGCTAAGGGAGCTGGGCATGTTTAGCCTGGAGAAGAGGAGGTTAAGGGGTGATATGATAGCCATGTTCAAATATAAAAAAGGATGTCATATAGAGGAGGGAGAAAGGTTGTTTTCTGCTGCTCCAGAGAAGCGGACATGCAGCAATGGATCCAAACTACAAGAAAGAAGATTCCACCTAAACATTAGGAAGAACTTCCTGACAGTAAGAGCTGTTTGACAGTGGAATTTGCTGCCAAGGAGTGTGGTGGAGTCTCCTTCTTTGGAGGTCTTTAAGCAGAGGCTTGACAACCATATGTCAGGAGTGCTCTGATGGTGTTTCCTGCTTGGCAGGGGGTTGAACTCGATGGCCCTTGTGGTCTATCCCAAGTCTATGATTCTATGCTGCTATGATTCTATGACTCTCCCACCCACTGGACCTCTTGGGAAGGAGGTACATGAAGAAGGGCCTCAGAAGATGATTGTAGGGTCCGGGTAGTGTCAGGCTTTGGAGGATCAGATCCCTCTCACGGTGGCAGCCAAGAGGCAGAGAAAGGATGAAAGTTCTTACCAAGCAATTTATTCAGTAATTCACAAAGCGTGACAAAGGAATGCAGTCTTCACTAAATAATGGCATTGCTCCAAGTAAAGTCCCCTCCCCTCCAGGTCTCCCCTATTCTACGTCACTCCTGCATCGGCTTATCTGAGCTGTCTGATTCTGAGCTCTCTGTTCTGCTACCCTCGATGCCCACCTGGCCCTGGAAGGGGGGCTGGTCAGGAATCCTTACCAAGGACACTGAGTCTGTCAGCTGTCTCTCCCCTGGTGCTGCTGCTTCTTCTGCTCTTCCTCTCCCAATATTTCCCAGCTCCTCCCCTCTGCAGCCTCTCGGTTATGCCCTTCTGCAAACCACTGTTCTAAATCTATACTGCCCTCCTGTTCTCAGGAGAAGGGGGGGGGGTCCCCACCATTCCTCCTTAGTCCAGCCCCTGACCGGTAGGAGAGAGTCAGTCCTTGGTATAGTGATCCAGAGCACACAGCAACACAAGCAACAGGCAATTCCTGCACTCTTCTCCATCCAAACAAACACTTTTCTTTTCTTTTTTAAAAAGGAAAGTAGCCGCCTGTCACTCCCGCATGTGGCTGGCAGGCAGCAAAACTGAACAATTAGAGCAGTGAGCATGACATATACACCCCTTTCCAAAAACTCCTGTATGGCTAGAGCAGGCAAACCAGGATGGCCAGGATGTGGCAAACCAGCCCTGGCACCCCACCCTGCTTTTCAAAAGCCCCTGCCTGCAAGAGAATGTCTCCTGCCCCTTTTTGTTAAGCAGCAAAGCAAAGAGAAGGCAAATGGGAATGATACCTTTCAGGTCTCCCACTTTTTCAAAAGGCAGCCCAAGCAGGGGAAGTGAAATGGCCCCAACACTTCTCCCACCCTTTGGGATGACGCAGAAGGAGGCCCAGGCTTCCAACAGAGTTGTCACTGCTGCAAACCGTAGGAAGGAAAAACAAAGAAGCTGTGATCCTACTTCTGCTAATGGTAAGACATGCTGGACATTTTCTCCTCTCCCTGGAGAAATTCAATGAAATCCCACTTTCTCTGCCCATAAATAAGCTGGAGGAGTTTTAAAGACTGTTGCTCAAAGCTCTGTTTCAAATATTCCTGAAGATGCTTTTGTTGCCATTCTTCAAAATGAACACAAACTAAAGTCTGAAGCAAATATTTCCTTCTCGTTAACTTTTTTGGTTTTTTTGACACATTAGTACACCAGAACTGCAACATGAAGGAGGCATCTCCTCAGCTTAATCTCTGGCCCCATATCTGCATACATTTGGGAGGCAGATTCCTTGGAGTCACTTGCAAGGAACAGCCCTTGGAGAAGCAGCTGTGTCTTAGCCGGAAGGATTTGTGCATCGAAAAGCCAGGATGGTAAGCAGAATTGTAATAATAATAATAATAATAATAATAATAATAATAATAATATGCCACCCATCTGGATTGTCCCAGCCACTCTGAGCGCCTTACAACAAATTATGGTTTTATGTGTTAGTGTATCCAACAGTTTCTTACAATTGGATCTTGTAAAATGCTGGAAAAGTTGCAGTGGAAAGGCAGATTTACACGGATCAGCAGCGAAAGGATAAGGTGCTTGAACGTTTCTCTGTCCTTTTTGACCTTTGGACCATCTACTGTCTGCCCTGCATTCATCCTGTGCCTGCAGACCTTTCAGGGTTTCCTGATGGTTTCTTTGGAACTTTGCAGAGGATTGGTTTGGGTTTTTTTAAAATAAAAACTAGATTTTAGAA